ATAGTAGAAATTAGAAACTCTTTTTAATTGGATGATAATTAAAATATTATTTATCACAACTTTCAGGATACATCTAAATTAACATGAAGAGGGAAACTAATAGTATTACAATCATATATTTGAAAAATGCAAGTCAGTGGCAAATACAGTTCAATAATCTTGGAAAAGGAGCAACACATTAAATGCAAGGAAATTAGCAGAAGAAAATATATATCTAATATCAGATATTAAAGAAATTAGAGAAAACATAATATAGAGCATCAATATCAAGAAATCAAAAGTTGCTTTTTAAAAGACAAAGAAGTTGATTAAACCCTTTGCATGATAGATTAAAAAGAGAACAAAAGCAAAAATAACAAGGATAAAGAATGAAGGAGAGAATATCATGTCATATCCTAATGACCTTAAGATATCACAGAAAGATAATGTGAAAACCTTTAGAAATCTTTTAAAATGCAGATGAAATTTTTTTCCTAAAAAAAAAACTGATGCAAGAAAAATTAAAGTATAGGAAGGTATAAAACTATAAAAAATTATTCTACAATTAAAACCTTTCTGTGAATATCCATGATGAAATGGCTTCATTCTAAATATTACAGAATTTTTAAGGAAGAAATGACATATTACAAAATCCTTCCAGAAGATTGGAAAAAAAAGATAAACACTTCCCAATTCATTCTATAAATCCAGTATAACTTTGATACAAAACCTTATAAGAAAGCATTGAAGGAATAAAATTATAGAATAGTTGGCACCTATTAACATGGATGCAAAATGTTAAGCAAAATATTATCAAAGCAAATAGAATAATATTAAAAAGGTTATTAAATCAAGTGTTTTTATTCCAGGAATGCAATGACTCTTCAACATTAGAAAGGCCAAGCAATGTAATTTACCACAGTATCCATGAGCAAGTTACTTCACCTCTCAAAAAGTTTTAACCTCCTTAAAGTGTCAATTTCCTCATGTGTAAAATTAAGAGCATGAAAATACAAATATCATGTGGTTTGTATGAGGATTACATAATTAATGAATGTAAAGTGCTTGGCACATGGCACACAGTACATGCCTATTAACATGTGCCTTTTAAAACAACAAATCTATTATCAGTGCCTTTAAAAACTTATAAATATGAAAGAAAAAAGCAAAATTTACATTGAACAATTTAGCAGACTAAAATCACATTTATGCAACTCTCAGAAAGCTCTTACTATGCAAAAAAATCACACCAAAACTTTGAGGTTTAGCATAGCTATTTATTTAGCCCCCGGTTCCACAGGTCAACAAATTAAGGTGGAGATAGAAGAATTGTTCTTCTGGTCTTAGCTGGACTCATTCATGTGTCTGTAGTCAGCTGTTTGGTCAGTTAGGAACTGGCTAGTCTTGGGAGGGGGCACTGGATCAGTTAGGATGACTAATCTCTGTACCATGCTGTCTCTCATTTTCCAAATGGGTAACCTGGGTTTACTCACATGGCAGTTACAGCATTCTAAGAGAACGAGAGGGCAGGCCCCAGTACATAAGTGTTTTTTAAAATTTCCATTTGGGGGCACCTGGGTGGCTTAGTTGGTTAAGCATCTGACTTAGGCTCAGATCATGAGCTCACGGTTCATGGGTTCACAGAGCCTAGAGCCTGCTTTGGATTCTCTCTCTCTCTCTCTCTCTCTCTCTGTCCCTCCCCTGCTCACACTCTGTCTCTGTCTCTCAAAAATAAATAAACATTGAAAAAAAATTTAATAAATAAATGAAATTTCCATTTGTCTAACATTGGTATTGCCTTATTTTCTAAATCAAGTCATGTGGTCAAGCCAAAACTTTGAGTATAGAAGGAATCGTGTCAAGGATGTAAATGTAAGTAGTCTTGAATAAATTGAGGACAATTACTCTAACAATGTCCCAAAAGTTCTAAGCAAGAATTCATCATTTTAAAAAGATATAAGAAATTGTATACATTATTTTACCCAACATAAATTACTCACCTATTAAAATTAAGTAGGAACAATTTTCTCCCAAAACTAATTGTTTTACTTAGCATTCCTATTTTTATGAAACCATTTCTAAGTCTCTAAGACTTTAGCTTGGTAACCCAAACATACCTTTCAAATACAGTGCCTACTACTGCCCAATCCAAAACTTTTTCTCCAACTAGGCAAGTAAACCAATGGCTTTTTCTTACATGGTGTTCTTGTTTCCTCTTGGCTCATGACATTTCCTTATCTAAAAGATTTTCATTCTTTGATGATGCTCCCCTGAGTCATTTAAAGTAGCTCATCATTTAAGTTTCCAGCTCAAGTACTACTTAAAGGTGACCATAACGCATTCCTTATTAATATAAGAAAAAAATTAGAAACCAAACATCTGAACTCCCTTGTGTACCATGAACTTTGATGGGACTAGCCGTACGTATAATATTCCATATTTGGAATCTTCTGTCTTCTGAATAAGACAGTAAAAATTATTATATAAAGGTAAGTTTTTGGACTTCCTTGTGTCTTCCATAGAATTCAGCATGACAAAATAAATTTAGGACCCAATATGTACATATTTATTTTGTATTTTTACTGAATTTGGTAAAAAATTTTTATATAAATTTATTAGTGTATATACTTGTAGTATCTTAATATTAAATAAGGGAATTCAAACTAAATTGATATTTCAAAGACACTGAGTAGACACTCTAGTATTTATAACCATAAATCATATATGTTGTTATTCAATAATCCACATGTCTCTCTCTCTACCTAACTTTTACATAATATAGATCTAGAGGGAATTGTACATTTTAGTTAATCTATATATTGCAAATTAAATGTATTTCTTATGCTAAATATGTACTATACCTAAATTAATATAATTGCCTTTAGAAATTTCTAATTTAGCTTTTCCCCTGAAGAAAACTTGCTTTCCCACACATTTACTATTTAAAATGAATGAAAGTATCCCTTAGAAGTCTGCTCACTAAACATTAAAAACTAATTAGCACATCTAGCAGTTATGCTTTTGTTTGTTCTTTTATTCTCAGAGCTGACTGCTTGAGTAAACATCTTTCCTCAAACCTAGCGAATAAAAAATATTTGCTATGTCCGATTAACCGACTTATGAATGTCAAATGCAATTATCCATAGATATTTAGTAAAATTTTGAAGATGAAAGACTATGCTATACCAAATGATTGGCCCTATTAGCAGGCATGTAAATAGAATTCTAATTATAGAAATGACAAATTTGAATTGGCTTTTTTGGTTACAATATAGAATCCATTTGGAACACCTGGGTGCCTCAGTTGGTTAAGCATCCAACTTCAGCTCAGGTCATGATCTCACGGTTCATGAGTTCGAGCCCCACATCGGGCTCTGTGCTGACAGCTAGCTCAGAGCCTGGAGTCTGTTTCAGATTCTGTATCTCCCTATCTCTCTGACCCTTCCCTGTTCATGCTGTCTCTCTCTCTCTCTCTCTCAGAAATAAATTAAAGAAAGACATTAAAAAAAGAATCCATTTGAGATGTGAAGTGGCATATAAAAATAGATACAAAACCCCAGAATAATATGAATAATTGAAAATTCATGGAAAATGAAAAAACAAAGACAAAATAATAAGACTGGGTGAGATGACTACATGTTGCCCTCTATTTCTATTTTGAAACTAGCCCAAATTTGACTCTCATTTTTTTAAACTCTATTGAGCAGCTTATACAAAATAGTAATAAAGTTCAGACAGCACAAGAAACAAAGGAGTATTTATTCCGTAAATCTCAGCAATGAGGATACTGGATGATACAGTGGTTGTCACTATAATACATCCAATAGTGATTATTTTTAAATTTTTCTTTCTAAGTTCTGTCCACAATCAAGGATAAAACTGAAGCATGGTTGCATAAAAGCAAGCCCATGGGATCCTAAACAATGTAGTTCTTCTAGTGGGCAGTTCTTGACTGTCTTTCTATATGAAAAAATATTAGAAATCTAGAGAAAAGGAATGCATATTTTTAGATAGTCCTCCATAAAGATTCTTACTCCAAATCACATTTATGTTTAAAAAGCAAGGAGTTTTGTTTTCTACTAAGAATCTAGAGGGCAGATACTCTGTGTTGCAATAATGACCACCCATACACTTTGACAATTAGGCAGAGTGAATTCATTATTTTTTCTTCTAATTTGTTAACATTAATTCACATCCCAAATTATTATTAGAAAACAAGATATTAAGAGTGTTTAGATAATTGCATCTGTAAAACCTAGAAAGAATCAGAAACTTTCGATGATGGGGGGAGGGGGGGTAAGTATACTTTAGGATAATAAACAAATTAACCTAGCTCAAAATAAGACATAGAAAATGAAAAACTGGTGGAAGTTTAAAAATATCATAGGATACCATATGGATAAAGCATCACTGGAAAATCACATTTGCATTTCATGAAGAATGGATAGCTAATTTCATAATGATTTTCTTTGAATGTGAAAAAAAATTATGTAGTCACTCAAATAGAACTAGAAAATCCAAGAATTTGTAAAATACATTTTTAACTTTAAAAAAAGACTAGTGTTAGTGAATCCAGATTTGCAATTTATATTATCTAAGCTGGAAAGAAAAACTTACAAAGAAGATAACTAAAAATAACTTATTATCCAAACTGAGACACTTTTGAGAGTGAATTCATTCACTAGTAATAAGAAAGCTAGAAAATTGGGCATAGGCCAGGCTAACCTGGGCAAACCGGAATGCATGGTCAGTGTACTTAAAATGTCTCACAAACACAAACCCAAGGCAGAACAGTTACTTTTCCCCTAAATCACCTCCTCTCTTCAAGCTTCTTAGTCAGGAGAATACCAACACTCCTATCTTTAACTAAACATAGATCAGTATTCAATTTTAAAAATGGTTTTCCCAGCTGAGAGTCACTCACACTTACTGGGAATGGACATTTTCTTTTCCTTAGAGAGAAAGGACAAATGCTTCTTGACAATGGAGGTACCAATGTACTGCCTTGGCTTTTATCTTACCTGAGCGATGGTAACTGCATTATGGATTCGACTGTCTTTCTCATGCTCCTTTGTTTTCTGCAGTGTTTGCCATATTTTGTTTCTAAATCCATCCTGCCCATCATCTCCCTGAAGTTCCCATGACATTTTCACCAGGTTATACACTAAGCCATAGTATCCAATCCATATGACTTGATCACCTGTTGAAAAAGATATATTCTTTGGGAAGGCATCATTTTATTCATCTTAGTAATACATAATTTTGTGAAAAAGAAGAAACGTCATTTTACTAATACAGTATTTTAAAGTCTGAAGTTCTGAGCTTTGGAATTTGTTTTATTCTTCACAGCTCCTACTCCTTTAATTTTAAAAGATCACAGCTTATTTTAAAATATCTAGTCATAAGAAAAGCTCTGCACCTAACAATTATCATACCCCATACATTTAAAAATTGGACAGGTGAAATAGGAACTATATATTTTTTAAAAACATTGGAATTCAAGGAAGGAGGAATTTTTTCAAGGCAATATGAACTTTTACAGCATCATAGTGAATTTTTATAATGAATTAGAGAATAGGAGAAAAATCACTGCCTGTTATAAAAATGATCAAGCTCTATGAAACACAGGATCCGAACCAAGAAGAAAGCCTTGAAAATAACGTGAAAAGCAGACAAAAATTGCCAATATAATTATAGGCTGTAGGGTTTTTTTTTTGTTGTTTGTTTGTTTTAATAATAGAGACATAAAGGGGGGCCTGGGTGGCTCAGTCGGTTAAGCGTCCGACTTCGGCTCAGGTCATGATTTCAGTTTGTGGGATCGAGCCCCGTGTCGGGCTCTGTGCAGACAGCCAGCTCGAAGCCTGTAGCCTGTTTCGGATTCTGTGTCTCCCTCTCTCTCTGACCATCCCCTGCTCATGCTGTTTCTCTCTCTCTCTCTCTCTCTCTCTCTCTCAGAAATAAATAAAAAACATTTAAAAAATAATAGAGACGTAAATTGGGCACCCAGGTAGCTCAGTCAGTTAAGTGTCTGACTTCGGGTCAGGTCATGATCTCATGGTTTGTGGGTTCAAGCCCCATGCCGGGCTCTGTGCTGACAGCCAGCTCAGAGCCTGAAGCCTGTTTCAGATTCTGTATCTCCCTCTCTCTCTGACCCTCCCCTGCTCACACTGTCTCTCTCTCTTTCTCAGAAATAAATAAAACATTAAAAAAATTTTTTAATAATAGATGAATTTATTTTTTTAAATAATAAATCAATTGAAACAGAGGAAAAGGAGCAATGAATCTAGAAGAGATTTTTAAAAGTCTGACACTCTTCTTTCTAAAACTTATATACCAATTAGTAATTTATCTAAATTATCAAGGTCCACTTTTAAAATACACTTCTCCCATATAGAAAGGGGGAAGAAGTTTCTCTTTACCCTTTATCTTAATTATTTCTTACCTCAGTGGTATATTGCCATACAATACTATTCAGGAAAAGAGAATTCTAATTTAGGTAGAGACGGGATAAATTTGGAGAATGAAATAATACAGCAGGTCTCAAAGGGGATATGAACTGAAGTTAGTTAAAGAGGAATATGAGAGTAGTGAGTATATGTGAAGCAAGTCAGAAGAACAAGAGGAAGAGAAGGTTCAGGAGAGGAGATGGAAGGGCTTTAGCGTCGATTAAATTCTATATTGTCCTGTATTCCAAATCCTGATGACAGCCTGTGTGACACTGGAACTCATCACTTCTCTTCTTGAATAAAGATATAAGCACAATATGAAAAAGTCACAATCCTCAACTTTTCCTAATTCAGTCTAGATTTTTATAATCCAGGCTACATAACAATTATTACTATTATTATAGTTATAACTAGAAAACTTGGGCATTCCTACTTCTATGTGCCCTTATTCTAGTTCCCACTACAATCCTGCTATGAAGACTGTATTATACTTAGCATAACAGAAGGAACATATGACCTTCAATTCAAGTTAGAAAGCCCCCTAGTAGGGGCACCTGGATGGCTTAGTCAGTTGAGCATCTGACTTCAGCTTAAGTCATGATCTCATGGTTTGTGAGTTCAAGCCCCACATGGAGCTCTGTGTTGTCAGCACAGAGTCCATTTTGGATCCTCTGTTTCCCTCTCTCTCTCTGCACCTCTCGCAATCATGCCCTCTCTATCTCTCTCTCTCAAAAATAAATAATAAAACATTTTTTTAAAAAAAAGGAAATCCCCTAGCATGACACAGATGATGAGTGACAGAGCCAAGTAAAGGGGAATCTAATCTTAAGCCATGCAACACAGACTCTCCAATTCAGACAAGTGGTTGCCTTCCTTCTATTCCATTCACAGGAAACCAAGAGACTACAAAGTAGAAAGAGGAGGCAGAATGGCAAGTATGTATACATTTTCAAAGTGGGAGAAGGAAAGCAAATGTCCAGCTTCCAAACTTAAGGAAACATTTATCCTTTCTATTGATACTTTGGAAGAGTTTAAACTACAGTTAAGTAGCCAATTCTTTTGAAAATGTAATTCTCCCCATAAAAATTTTACAAGTTAAAATTAGTATGCTGCCATATTTGAAATTCTACATATGAATTGATATCAGCAAGATGGTAGAATAGGACGTCCCCAGCACATAGAAACAACAATCCCCTCATAGAAACAACAATCTGGCAGCCATCCATAAACAAAAGTGCCTTTCTCAGGACCTTGGGATCCAGGTAGGAGGTTGTGAAACTCCCGTGGAACGCAAGACTGAGGAGGCAGTCCCAGCCCAGGTGGCACATCGGTTGGCAGTTATGTGGTCCCAGCCATGGAACTGGAAACATCCTTGCCCACCCTGTGAACTCGGCTCCACCCCTTTTGATCCACAGTCTTCTCCAGCAAAGGACACAGGAAAACCCATGCCTATTGGTGCCTCTGGTAACAGGCCCAATGTCTGTTGGCCCTGAGGCAGCTCTGTGACCTAGCTCCAGGCTCACTCTACCATGATCCAGAGGCAGCTCTTCTGACCCAGGAACCCATCCATGGGCCCTGGCAGGAGTGTATTCAGGGATGTGGCAGGAGCCAAATTTATATGCATCCCAGGTACCAGGTCTAACATCTGGAGATGCAGAAGTGGTTCCATAACTACACTTCCACCCTGCTCAACCATGGTCCTGGAGGTGGTCCTGTCCCCTTAGGGACCTAGCAGGATCTGTGGCTACTTATTCCTTTGGCAGCAGGCACACTGACTCCTAGTAGAGAGGTAACTATAAGAATTCACAACCCCAAAATCAAGAGTTGCATATAAGAACTCTTGATAAGAAGAGAGAGGGTAAAGGATGATAGTAAGGATCACAAATTGAACTGGGGTAGAGAACTCATATTAGAAATGGATAAGGGGTGCCTGGCTGGTTCAGTTGGTGGAATATGCAACTCTTGATTTGGGAGTTGTGAATTCAAGCCCCATGTTGGGTATATAAAAAGAAGTTGGGGCACCTGGCTGGCTCTGTTGGTAGAGCAGGCAACTCTCAATCTTGGGGCAATGAGTTAGAGCCCCAAGTTGGATATAGAATCTACTTAAAAAAAGAAATGGATAAAGTAAAATAACTAAAGATAAATGGGAACAGATTAAGTGGTAGATATTTGAGCAAAAGAGTAAGGTTTTATATGTTCAATGACATGTTATGTCTATTCAAGCAATAAACTGGGAAGCCAGTGTGGGAGGTTTATAAGATAATTTAGGTCTTTATTGTCATAAGCAGCAGGAGATTGGAAAGTAAAGGAAAAACTTAAGACATGGAGAAGATCTAATAAGACTTCTTAGCTTAGGAGGAGAAAAACACGAAGTGAAGAGGAAAAGTACATATTTAAGTTAAAACCTGGAACAATAATGAAATCACTTGCAGAAAAGAAATTATTGTAGCAGAGCCAATATAGAGAGAAATAAGACAAAATAATATTTGGAAGGTGTTGCATGGTAGAGAGTGAGGGGAATCTAATTTTCAGAGGCCTATAGTTTGTTGTAAAAATATAGCTAAAATTTAAGTGAAATAGCAAAAGTGAAATTATGGATTTGTGAATCTAGCAGAAAAGCAAGTTTTTAAGTCATTAAGAGCAACAAAACAATTATGAGTTTTAAATTAATGATTCTGGAGTTGTGAACCTCAATTCACAAAATACTCAAAATTAAAACTTCAAAAATAAAGCAGTTGTGAACAATATGATAAAAAAACATAGTGTAAATTTTAACCTATCTATATACTTGTTTAAAGACTCCCAAATTCTTTACATTAATAAGAATGATAAAAGTACATATAAGCCATCTTCATATATTTTAAATTATCAATTATAGAAGTTATAGTCAGTTAAGCATCCAACTCTTGACTTTGGCTCAGGTCCTGATCCCACAGTCATGACTGAGCCAGTATTGGGCTCCATGCTGAGTACAGAGACTCCTTAAATATCTCTCTCTCCCCACTTCTCCCTCTATGCCTCCGCTACTTGTGTGTGTTCTCTTTTTGTCTCTAAAAATATAGATATATAGAAGATAGATAGATGATAGATAGATAGATAGATAGATGATAGATAGATAGATAGATAGATAGATAGATAGATGATAGAATCCACAAGACCAGTGATGAACTCATAAAATGTATTTTGGTAACTGAATTCTCAAAACTCACTGAATTTTTAAAATACTGTTGTTGATTTTCAAAATGAGCTCTTGGGCTGTTGACTTAAACTACAGTGAAATGGGGAGCCTGGGTTTCTCAGTCAGTTAAGTGTCCAACTTTGGCTCAGGTCATGATCTCATGGTTTGTGAGTTTGAGCCTTTTATCAATCAAGTTTTTTGTTATCAGTACAGAGCCCACTTTGGATCCTCTGTTCCCTTCTCTCTCTGCCCCTCCCCTGCTTGTTCTCTAAATAAGTAAATAGATAGATAAATAAACTTTAAAAAAAAACTACAGTGAAGTATTGCTTATGAATAATATTTGTAGGGGAAATCTATTACATTCAATTCACTGACAGTTAATTTAAAAAAAAAACCTTATAAAGACAGATGAGATGTGTTACAACTGTCATAAAAGGTAAAATGCAGTTCAATATGCACGCCTTGACATTTGATAAGAAGCATGCCTGCTATGAAACACCTCATCCAGGGACCAAGCTAAAGAATATGGCACTCTTCTCTCCTGCATTGAGTGGCCCTGTGACAGCTATC